CTGCTGATTAATGACACTTCACAGATGTATTAAAATGCACTTGTCTCCACTTCATGCTTCGCTGCACAGCCAAAGCATAATCCCTGTCACCCAGACCATTCAAACCGCTTTGCATTAGTGTTTAATTAAACACAGATAATTTCCAGGACTATTTTGAGTATAAACATGGCCTTGTATCTAAGCTGCATTTTACCTTAGGCAGGAAATGCAAATAATGAGAGGAAAATGAAATAGAAATGCGAGAAAAAAAGTTTATGCAAATATTCATTCACCTGCTTTGTTTTTCTCCTTCCAAATTTAGCTTGACAAAATCATGAGCTAAGGGAATGATCCACCAGGCACAGCTCATCCCTCCACTCCTCCCACCCCCTCGCAACCCTTATGAGTGTGAGGACATTGATTACTGAATTTATTTTTAAAAAGTCAATTTGCATACTCTGCAGAGATCTACTGAAGTGTAATTACTTGCTCTGAAAATCTGGTACTCAGACAAAGGGAGATTTTCCCAGTAACTTAGACAACGTTTAGCTCAGAACTGGAATATCTGCTTGAAAAAGTCCATAGAAGTGCAACTGAAGTAGGTTAAAACAAGCATAAGACCCCTTGACTTTGTGAGTTAACCAGAACCCTACCTTCTGTGCTGTCCTTTTAAACAGAAGCAAATTTACTGCTTCAATATATGAGGCTTTAAAAATATTTGACAGAGAAAACTTGATGACATCCCTTTCGCTTATACTTTCCAGGATTGGAAGGATTTTAAAAGGTTTATCTTTTTCTCTTTGACCTGAAAGAAAGCCAAGTTAGGTCAGACTGGAGAGGTTTTGAAAAACGTATTCCGTTAGTGAAGCCGTTTCATTTTCAACTCTCTGAGCCACTCCTATGCTTAGCAATACTGCACTGTTTTTCAGAGGATGCCTATAAAACTCAAGGCCGAAGTGATGATGAACCAGCTTATTTGGACATTCTAGACACTGCTGGACAGGTGAGTAGTTTTCCAATATAAACATTGTACCAGAGAAAAATAAACAGAGATAAACAAAGATCTGGACCTCAGATAGATGGGTCACAGAGCTAGAAACAAACATTCCTTTTCAAATACAAGTAAATGGAGTCACAACTGAGGAGAAGGTTAAAGGAGTGCTTCACTGGTATCATGTACCTTTAAAATCAGACCAGAAGAGACAGACAAAACTAATCAAGCAGTAGTTCGTTATTTGTTTCTTTTTCTCTTGTATGCAGAAAACATCTGGCACAATAATGGAATGAATGAATGCTGTTGTTCATTTCTCTTAAATGTTTTCTTTATTCTTGCCTTTCTATATATTACCGGAATATCCTGGTGCACTTATAGATCAGGTGTTTTGTAGACATTATTCTCTCTGCTTTATATTTTATCATCAAATGTTCACCCTTAAGAAAAGATCTCACTGTCAAAAGGAACATACAGTATACATATAAAATGAATATATGTGTGCATGGACATCAGTCAAGGAAATACATTTTTTGCTTGTGGTAAGGAAAGGGAAGAAGTTAAATACAAGAATTCCTCTACCTGAGTCAATTTATTTCCTCTCCCTCTTAGATTTTTTTTTTAACATTTAATGAAAATGTTGCAGTAGGTTGATTTTCTTTCTGAGGTGTGTGTCAGGTTCCCTTTGAAGGCTTTGATAGTTTCATGAGATCACTCTTGTCATAGTTTATATGCACGTTGTACAAGAATGAGTCTTAAAAAAATGATTTGAGAAATAAAAGTCTGGAAGCCTTGATCTCAGCTTCCTAAATATCTGAGCTGGGCGCTGCAAATGGTGGAAAATTCAATCATCTGTCAGAACTGGCACAGTATCAAGTTATATAAGGTCAAATGTAGTTCAAAGAGATTGTTGTTTGCATGAGTTTTACTTGTGAATGAAATATAGGCCAATTTCAAAGTGAATTCAACACAGTTTCAAGAATCAAAAGATGCCCTGAATTATTCTTCCTTGACATAAAATAGTTTCAGGAGTTAACTGGGGACTTGCTGCTGAGTATTCTCCAAAAGTTTTTGATTCTCCAGAAAATCCAAGCTAAATTTCAAGGCAGTACTACAAAGCTATGAATCTAATTGGCCTGGAATTTAATATTAAAAAAGGCCCAGAAGTTTCTTGCACATAATCACCTTAAGTTAGTTTCAGCCATCATTCAACAGGCAGGAGAAGAAGGGACACCACAGTTACTCCTAATTAACATGGGTGAAAATACGTATATTTCTGATGGAGAAAGAGATCTTCTTTTCTGACTCAGGAAATCTGACCCTAGTAGCTTTAGCTATATATTGTCTAGCTATTTACTCTTGTAAAACTCCGTATGTTTAGGAACCCTCTTTATTATCCTTTGTTATAGTTCACCATCAAGGTCCACACATATTCCACTACTTAATTCACTATGGTTAGATTTTGTAGAATCATTAAAATGCTAAAAAGTGAAATACTTCTTTACCCAGAGATCAAGACTAATGATTTATCATAAATTATCTACTCAGTTACTTGCTAATAGAAAGAGATGCTAAATGTTCTGGAGGATTTCTTCACCCTCAGAAGCACCTTCCCCGTTTAGTGGTGTTTTATTTTCCCGGAGAGTCTTAGAAATTTTAAGACTTATTCTTTACAACTGTAATAACTGCAATTTTGTCTTTCATTTCGTGGAGGGTACAAAAGGTATGAACCTCCTTGCTGTGCTCATAGAGATGTGCAGACATGAGCAATCTGATCCCAAATCAGTAACTAACTGTCATGCAAAAAAACACATATACAAAGGAAACAAACCAGCTTAAAATGAAAGCAAAGAATGGATGATGAATGAGCCAGAAAATTTATAAAGTTACCTTATTTTGAGATAGGGAAGTAATTAATTGAACCGAGGAGGTTGCATGTTGTGAAAAAAACAAGAAGAATTATTCCTTCTGCCTTGATTTTTTCCAGGTATTTTCTTTTTACTAGAAATATGAAGGTCTGTGCTGTTGAAAAAAGATATAACCGGGTGATCAGGATTTCCCTTCTTCCAAAACTGGAAGGAAGATATTCTAGGAAGGAAGCTCTTCCCAGTCCTGAAAAATAGCCAAATCCTGGATTTAATTGGTTTTTTTTTGTAAGTGCTGTTAGGCTTTTTGAATTTGCTGTCTCTCTATCTTCAGTACACAACCCAGAAAGAAATCAAAGCTTAATCCAAGTCTTATTGAAGTCAACAGCTAAAATAGCCTGCGTACTCACAGAAGGCTTAATGTTACGTTCACTCAAGTTCAAACTGAAACCTTGTTGTGACTCAAAAAAACAAAAAAAAAGCAAAAAAAAAAATCTAGTTATGCGTCTGCTGATGTGCTCTACACCTCTGTGCATTTATGTAAAGTCAGAAATGGTTATACAAGTTCTAAATCATCTAATGGAAATTTCATTTCTCTCTAGTGCCTTCACAGTCATAAATACTTAATTATCAACTTTGTATCATGATTTTAATCTCCTTAGGAGATCAAGGAGCTAAAACTGTAATTGTCTCGCATTTGGGAAACACAAGAAGTTGTCAGAGAAACCAACTGAACTTAATATATTTAGTCATTATTCTATAGAATATGTTTCACCAAATATTATTCTCCTTTCCTTGTTGTGCATATGCACACTCAAACACCAACAAGATATTGAGATAATATAATTCTGTTATTGCCATGTCCAGAATGGAAAATCCACCTCTGATTTCATATCTGAAACTGGATACAAATCTTCAATATTTTAATTGGTAGGTGTAGTTTGGAGCTTCAAACGAATATGTGACTTCAGAAATACTTTTTTTTGGTTCTCGGCTTTCATAAGTTACATTTAAATAGAGTTAAAAAATTATTTTTAACGAAGTTAGGTAGTTGTCTGATCAGCAAGCTAGCCTGTCTGAGCCCTCTCTAATCAACTTTAGGTAAAATAAGAATTTCAGGAATTTGTGTTGATTTTCATATTCAGTCAGACAACTGAATCTCAAAGAAGACATCTATATTTAGCCTTATATTTGCTTCCTGAAGAAGCTTGATTCATTTGGCTCTTTCTTACATAATTCTCTGAAAATCACTTCTTGGACTCTGGGATTTATCTTCAGAAGGCCAAGATGTATGATTATCTTCTAACATCTTAATGTCTGGTTCTTTGTTGTGAATACAAATACTTCTACACCTGGTTTCCTATAACACTGAGGTAAAAATTTAAGTTTGATTTTCACTAAAATGAAAATATCAAGGGAGAAAATGGAAACAGTGATACACAAGCTTGTCAATCTTTTATTGTAATTAAAGGTGGAATTCAACACTCTAAACGTAGGTATCCAACTCCACTTCAGAAATGTTAAGACACCTGAAGCTTTGCTTAACCTTTGCTTAAATATGCCAAAGAATCAATGGGAGAGCCATGGCTTTCTGAAGTGGCAGACCGAAGAATTGAATATAGGTGAGAGATGCTCCTTGATCTTGTTCTTGGGATGCTTCTTAAGCAACTCTCCCTTGAAACTCCCTCATGGACTTCTAAGACTTGTGGGGACAGGGAGGGTCTTCTGGAGGTTTTCCTTCCTTAGTGAGTAATAAACCTCATCTGCTTATACACATAATTGATTTAAACTAGTATAAATTATTTGCCTTCCAGAATACCTGTGGGTGCAAATAAAAGGACATTCAGACCTTGAAGATCTTATTCCTTGCTCGGTTCCCTTCCCAGCTGTCATCAGAGACTGACAACTCCCGACTGCTCCAACCATGCGCAAAAGCCTCCACATGAGTTAGTTAGAGAAACCTTCTGTTCACTCCTTTACACTTTCTCATTCTCTCTTTAAAATTACAAATATGCTGCCACTTCTGGGGCGCAGGTTGAATTCCTCCTTGTGGGACATACACAGCGTTTATGTTTTCTGCTATAATTATAAACTGCTGACTGACACAGGAGCTTTTATTCTTCCCACAGGTTTGCTCCTTATGACTCAGCACCTACCTCCTGATTTAGACCTAAAGCCAAACTTTAAAAGAGCATCAGACAGAATTATCTACACTGAAAAAAAAAAACATTGAGGCATTGAGGTGCCTCAATGTAGAAAAGGCTTTTTTTTTCCCAGTCAGAAAGAAGGCAAATATACAGAAAAATGGATTTGTGCACCTGTCAGTGATAGTGCATTTCAAGACTATTGCACCAATTTTTGTATGTTAAAATGTGAGCTTTTTATGATAAACTTAGTGCACCAGTATCTTTCCCAAGTGTGAGTCAGAGACTTGAAAAATTGGTCTTAAAATGTGCTGGCATGTCATTTTGGTGAGATTTTCCTTTGTCTGGAACTGTGTTTACATGAATTCATTCTCAGGTAGATGCTTTCAACACGACAACAGCAGTGAGCTCTGTAGTGAAATCCATCTCTCAAATTTCTAGCAAACCACAGCACATGCTTATCCTGCCAACCTCCGGGACTGTGATTTTTGCCCCCTGCTTCAAGCTTTGAAGAGGAACTATATTAGTCCCAAGAGCCCTTCAGATAAACACACTTTTTCAGACTAAACACCAGAGTCCGGTGACTCGCTCATGCTGTTATCTGAGATCCTTCTGCTTATTATCTAAACATGCTGCTCTGTAATCCTGAATCAATGGAAGTCGAATCTGAGACTAAGCTACTGCAGCTTATCTCAAGGAAATGTAAAATGCCTTTTTGGTAGTAATTATATTTTAATGGGCCTTTACAGCTTGTACTTTTAAGAGGAAAATAATTTTAGTGCACAATTCACTCTGTACCATTGTGAGTAAATGAAATCCATTTTATTTTTAGCAGTGAATTCAGTGGCAAACATTAATACAGTCTATAGGTGAAGAATATTAGTTTTATTTGCTTTTTTCTTTTTTTTATTTTATTTTATTATTTTTTTTTATTTCACAGGCTGATGGTGACATATTCCTAAACTAAAATCATAGTGTTGAAAACCTGGTTTATTTCTTCTCA